CCCCAATGTTGATGCCTTTGCGACATGAAGTAGCTAGAGGGTGCTCTGGCGCACAATTATGCAACTCGGTGGGTTAAAATTACAGTAATACAAGCAATTTCCAGGGTTCAAAATAACGGTTCGTGATTCGTGAATCACGAATCAATTTTCATTTTTCACGAACCCTAGAATTTTGCAATCTTGTTAATATTGGCAGTACCTATGCACAGAGGCATGACAGACCGTTCAAGATTATATACTACATACCTTAATTTTCTTATTGAGCTTATCTTTGGGAAAATGAATGGTTAAAGATGTTATTAAATCAAGCTTTTCCTCCTTTGTGATCTGCTTGATCAAGGTTTCAGAAATATACGCCACTGAACCACTGTCCCGAGGAACATCTTCCAATGTTTTTGTATCTTTCTCAAACTGTTTGTCTGTATGATCTAAACCATTTAAAATGCATAATTTACTAATGGTAGATCAAGGCTCGTCTGATTACATGATCCAGAGAGGTTGGGGGACACAATGTACACGCTGCAGAACTTGTCTGCATGACAAGTTCATCAAACAAGGCTGGCGGACTTCCAAGCAATTAAATGTGCAACAATATACAGTATAAAGTTTTGTTTGTGGAAACACAAATATATAGTATGTCTGTAATGCATCAGTCAATTCTAGCATTGCCCATCCCCCCCCCGGCATTTGCACTCTTTTTTTGCCCGGGGGCCGGGCATTGGTACTTGCAAAGTTGTCCCGGGGGCGGGGAATTGTTTACCGGCCGGGCATTTGACTCGACCAGACGTTTCTGCGACGAACACATGCTATTATATTAAAAAAAAACGAGGATTTTCTCGATATTTTCATTCACAAAACGTTACACCAATCGCACATGAGAAACTAATTAAAGTTGTGTTTAACTATCTAGCATAAAAACACCTGAATCCATAGTACAATCCTTGTTTTATATCTTGCTACGTGATTGTATATTAACCACTGAACCGACGAGCACGTTTTTCATGTTCAAAAGTTGGGATGACTGCTGTAGCTTTTATACAAGGAAGCTAATTATAATGTTATGGAAGTTTTGGGATCTAAAATACATTCTATAAATATGTGCTGGGGCCGGGCATTTGTCATCTTTTTTTTGCCCGGGGGCGGGCATTGCCACGCTTTTTCTGCCCGACCCTCGGGAACTGTCAACTTAAAGAAAAAAAGTGCAAATGCCCGGGGGTTGCCCGGGGGGACGGACAATGCTAGAATTGACTGATGCATAACATCGTAGGTAGCACAATGGCTACAGGCATGTCAAATATTTGACTCAAATATTAGACTGCGAGCAGTCCCTCCATAATAGAAGGAATGGAGGGACTCAGCGGACAACACATCAAGAAAATATGAAGATGAATATAATCAATAATGCAAACTTGGTTTGGATAAAAAATTCATTTGTCAACAACCAGTGAGATATCTTCCAGTAAACACCCTCACCAATTGAAGAATGGTTGATACCATCATGATTCAATTCCAACATGCCATGATCACCATCACCAGTATTAATTTGAGGCAATTTCCTTGATGTGAAATGACCTCCATTTCCAGGGGATATGCTTTTCATTCCCTCGTTCCCTGCCTTCTCCATGCTTTTCAAAACACAGCCATCCAATAAAACATCCAAATTTTACTTCACATATGAAACAACCACAAATGGTCAAGCTTAAATGCAGCAAAGATTAAATTTTCCCCCAATATTTATAATATAAACATTAATAAACACCGAGTCTGAGACAGTACAGATTGATCCTCATATAAAATTAAAGAGAAACGCTTCTGTGATAATTGGAGCCATATAAATTTCATTTCGATGTAAACTGCAAGACTTCAGATACATAAAACCGTCTAAAAGTCGATTCCCAAAGACAAAAAAACTACCAAATTTTACTGTATGTTGCTTTGAATTTGTTTGTTCGCGCCTCTTGTTGACTTTTACAATAAATTTACAATTCAAACTCATTAATATGCAAAATATGCAGAAGTGCTGAAATACTTCATATAAGGGATTCCCTGTATATGGTACTTCAAGTTCATACCGCAAATTCTGAAAAATTTGTGAAAACTTTATGCAAGCATGGGTAGTTTGGGTCTGCTACAGTGGCGTAACTACGGTACCATGGGCTCAGACCGGGAGAACCCGGGGGCTCCAACCCCAAAGGGGGCCCCCTGGCTTAGGCGATAGAGCAAAAACATTGGCCAGGGCCTCTCTGATATGTTACAATGTCGTTTTCTGACATCAGAATTCTGTAAAATCTCTCCCCAAAGTCCAGGAAATGGCGTTTCAGAGAGTCTAGATTCAAAAATTTTCCGGATGAGCATGCCCTGAACCCCCTAGAAAACTTGTGCATATACGGCGCTCGACTCGTGCCTTTGGCACTTCTACTAGGGGGCCTTCGAAAATTTTGAACCGGGGGCCCCCTGCTTTAACGTTACGCCACTGGTCTGCTAGTATCTTTACCACTAAAATTTTTCAATAAACCACTTTAAAAATAGCTTGCATTTAAAATTATGGCTGGCTTAAAAGCAAATAGAATTCATATGGCGCAACTTTAGAAGGTATTTTATGAATTATCAAAGTTCCAAACAATTCCCTAGAGGGGCACCCCAAATGCTGGAATTGCGGAACGTGTTAAATTTTAAGGAATATTGTTAAAAATTGAGGTCGAAAACGTCTGAAAAACGTATTTTTAACTCCCTCTTATCTGAAAAACGTATTTTTAACTCCCTCTTATCCGAAAAAATGTTGACCTCCCCGTCCATACTGCATGGTTTTCGGTATTCCTTACAGCCATTGCGATTTGTGGATATAAAGGAACCGAATTTCGCCATACCTTATAGGCAGGGCGGTTTGTGGCTATAAGTATGTCGGATTTCGGCATACTTATAGCCACAGCGGTTTGTGGCTATAAAGGATACCGGATTTCGGCATACTTATAGACACATCGGTTTCTGGCTGTAAAGGATACAGGATTCCTTCCAACCACGGTGGATCGTGGCTATAGAGGATACCGGATTTCGCCATACCTTATAGCCAGGTTTCCGGCTGTGAGGGATTAAAATGACATGCCATTTAAAGGCTAGTTTCCACTCAGGAAAATTATCCGTGGACTGGAACGGACAAGAAAATTTTTCTTTGTCTTGTGACCTTTAGATTGGAACTAATGACTTTAACACAAAGAAAAATTTTCTTCTCCGTTCCAATCCACGGATAGTTTTCCGAGCGGAAACTAGCCTTAACACTTGAAAAACTAAACTAAATCCATTCTTCTTGGAGTACCAACGTTTCAATGAGGTTTTACACATCGAACTCCTCCAGTAAATCATGGTTTATTTATTTATTAACTTTGCAACAATACATAAAATGGACTAAAAAACTACATAATATGGTTGAAGGTATGGTCAACAGGACATGAATAGCCCCATATGAAGACCAACCTTAATGAAAACAAACTATAACAAACATAAATCAAAGACGATAACAAATATAAAATTTACAGAAAACATGACGAATTACGAACAACAGCTTAAGTTGAAAGAGCGGCACTTAGAACAGAAGGTTTTCCAAGTGCGAATTCTGTTTACATCGAAAGATGAATGAAGTAGAGAAGAGTAATGAACAGTTAGTCTGTTTTTAAAGGAGGAAACGGATGAACTATTATGAATGGTAGGAGAGAGATTATTCCAGAGAAAGACAATTCGGTTGAAAAAAGAGTTCCTAAAGAGAGAAGTCCTGCAATGATTGACACGAAGCAAGTTGTCCGAACTTGAACGGGTGTGAGACGAGCTGTTGGAAGAAAAAGTGACGAAAGAGGAGATATCTAGGTCGAAGAGACCGTGCTTACATTTAAAAAAGAAGACGAGATCCTTTAGTTCCATCCAGTAGGATATTGGTAATAAATTAAGCTTTTTAAGGCGTTCAGGATATGGCAACTCATAATCCTGAAGGATAAATTTACTAGCTCGTCTTTGAACACCCTCGATGATCGCAAGATCACGTGACGATCCTTGAGGTGCCCAGATCTCACTACCATATGACAGATGAGATCGGACGAGAGCAAGATAAAGAAGCCTACGGCAGCGAATATCAGACATTTGCGTACAATTCCTACGAAGAAAACCAAGCATACGATTGGCTTTTGCAGTGCAGCTGGCGATGTGAGGGGACCACTTTAGGTCATTGCTGATAACAACACCCAAGTCTACTTGGTTAGCTATGCTCTTAACTGGATCGTTGTTAAGAAAGTAGCAATGAGTTGGAGGGTTACGTTTGCGAGATATCCTAAGTAGGAGCGTCTTCGAGACATTAAATTTCATTTTCCAGTTAAGTGACCAGTTGGACATAGCGTCCAGGTCAAGCTGAAGGAAACCACGATCAACTGGTGATCGTATAGCACGATAACACTTGCTGTCATCAGCAAAAAGTGCAACGGTACTATTATTGGTTACCTCGGGAAGGTCATTTACATAAAGAATGAATAAAAGTGGACCTATTACACTACCTTGTGGCACCCCAGAGGTAACATTAAGAAAAGATGAGGAAGCTCCTTCAACGACAACACATTGTTTGCGATCACGAAGGTAATCAGCAAACCAGTTAAGAAGTGGACCTGAGATTCCAAACGATTTGAGTTTGAACAAAAGTTTGCTATGGGACACCGAGTCAAACGCTTTAGCAAAGTCGAGATAAATCAGGTCTGTTTCCTTTCCAGAGTCAAGAGTACGACCAAGGTCGTCAAGTACACTCAAATGTTGAGTAACACACGACCTTTTACAACGAAAGCCGTGTTGAAGGTCGTACAAGGAGTTTTCAACAAAAGAAGAAACCTGCCTGTAAATTAAACGTTCGAGAACTTTTGAGACTTGAGAGAGTAAGGAAACTGGTCTGTAGTTAGTTACCTCATGAGTGTCACCCATTTTTGAGTATAGGCACGACATTAGCAGCTTTTCATTCAGAAGGAAAAACACCCTGCTGAAGAGATAACTAAAAGAGAGCAGTCAAAGAAGGGGCAATTACCTCAGAACATCGCTTTAGAAGGTAAGCTGGAATACCATCAGGACCTAGAGGGTGATAAATTGGACAACAAAGACTGAACATCGGATTCAAATACATTTAATGAGCCAAGAGAGTTAGAAGCTAAACTAGAGGGAGTGAAAAGAGGTGAATAACTTGTGTCGGAGGTGAAGACTGACGTAAAAAATTGGTTAAAGCCATCCGCTTTTTCCTTTGCAGAATAAAGTTTCTGACCTTCCAACTTCATCACGTCAGGGATCGAAGATTTCGAGGATTTACATTTAAAGAATCTCCAGAATAATTTAGGGTTATTATACACATGTTCGGACAGTCCAGAGAGATATTCTCTCTTCTTGGAATTTATCCAACACTTGACGTGTTGCCGAGTTTTACGGAATTTCTTCCAAAGTTCAGGCGAGTTCTTAGCCTTTGCCTTTTTTCTTAGTGACTCTTTCATCTTAATAGCGTGAAGTAAAGTCCTTGGTGATGTATGGGGGTGTAAAAGAACGCTTGAGCTTTGTTTTGGGGATGAAATGGTCAACAGCGGCAAGGAAAGCTTCGTTCCACTTAGCCCAGGCAAGATTAACGTTGTTACTTTCGTTGAGGACTATATCAACTAGTGGAGTGTTCCTTAGACTTCAAAATGGCGTCAATTCAGACAAACATGGCCGAAGGGCAGGAAAAAGACATATCTGAGACAACGACAACTATGCAAGCTGACCTTATTGACCAAGAAAGCGTCAAAAGTGGAAGCACCGAAAGTACAAAGATTCAAAGTCTACGAAATAATAAGAAATTAGCTAAAAGTAGAATGACTAAAGTCAGAAAACAGTTGAGTGACCTTATTGAAAATCGACCACAAGATGTGGCACTACCTAGCAAGAATGCTGTAAGAAGAGCCGTACATAAAATTAATTCTGAGATGAATATTATTACAAAGATTATCGATAGTCTGAAAGAAGTGTATGCCATGACTGAGAACAATGAAGAAACTAATACAGTAATATATACATTAGACAAAGAGTTAGAGGACATTGGATATTCAGTTGATGTAATTGTTGAAGGAGCAGAAAAACATATAGAAGATAGAATTAATGCAGGGGAGACCGAGTCAGTATTACTTTCACTTAAATCGCATGTTAGTTTGGATAAAGATTCAGTACCCCCAATGTACCGTCCAATGTACCCTCCAATGTACCCTCCAATGTGCCCCCAATGTGCCCTCCAATGTACCCCCCAATGTACCCTCCAAAGTACCCCAATATACCTTCAACAATACCTTCAGACGTAGAGCAGAAACAATTAGAAGCTAAGAATGCGAATGACAGATTGCAAAGAATGGAAAAGGAACAACAAGAGAAAGAACAACAGATGAGAAAATTAGCAGCTGAACTTGAACTCACCAAGCAGCGAACAGAGGAAGCAAGAAAAGTAGCTGAGCTCAATAAGTCACGGGCAGAAAATGCGGAACGACAACTAGTCGAAGATTGTGATACTGTAAAGGATTTTCTTACGAAACATAATTTTACAACAGAGGATCGCCCGAGGGAGTACCAGTTGAAACAATAACCCGATCACCCATCAAGTTGAAAGGAGTCGACCTTCCAAAGTTTTCTGGAGAGGATAAAACCAATTATGAGCCCTGGAAGGCAGCATTTATGGCAATGGTTGATGTGCAGAACATTCCAGTTGGTGAAAAAATGCTCAGGTTACAAAGCTGTTTAGCTGGTAAAGCACTGACCTTGGTGAAAGATTTGGGATATTCAAGCGCTGCATATGAACGAGCAAAGTCGAAGTTAGAGAAGAGGTATGGGGGAGAGAGGCGACAACAAATAAAGCAGCTTACAACTTTGCGTAATTGGCCTAAGGTTTGGTCCCACAATTTACAAGACTTGGAAGAATTTCAAGCCCTACTAGAGAGAATTTTGATCACTATCAACAATTGTGGATCCTTACAAGATCAAAGCCTGAACTTATCAGCAAAAGAAATGCTAACCGAACGGGATGTTCAAGCGTATAAATACTGGTTGATAGACTATGCTCGAGAAGATTGCTTCGAATCGCTGGTAGACTGCGTGGAACTCCGAGTGCAAGTCATTGGGGAAGCGAGAGAGGAGACTGAGGGATTTGGTAAGAAGAATGAGGAACGGGGTAACAAGAATCGTGATGAACGACCGCGTTTCCGAGGATTCAACACACGATTTTCAACCAGACATTGTATTGTTAGCACATGCAAACAAGACCATCCACCATGGGTTTGTGATGCTTTCAAGAGACTCCCTGTACAGAAGAGAAAGGAATTAATTTCAAAAAGCAGCCGTTGTTATCGGTGCCTGGCAGCTGGGCATCACAGCAAATATTGTCGTAAAGCACGAAAATGCGGAGTTGACGGATGCCAGAGCAACAACCATAGCAGTTATCTTCATGAAAGCACCCCACAGACTGAGAAAACAAATGCTAGACAGCAGTTAGAACCAGAGGCGCCAACCTTCTATCCAAGACAGCCACCAGCCCGAGAAGCAAGAACCGAACAGTCTGGTAGAATGGACATCAATAACCAACAGACAGCCGAATCATCCACGCAAGAGAGAACTCACAAAACGAGTAAGACTGATAATGTTTCATTAATGGTTCTTCCAGCCATTATTAGCGATGGTCAGAAGAAGTTGAAAGTTAATGTAATGTTAGATCCATGTTCAACAAGTTCTTATATTTCGGAACATGCTGCAGGAGAGCTGGAGCTGCAAGGGCAATCGTTAAATCTGACAATTGCAGGAACAGGCGGAACAGAGATTCAGAAACGGTCAAGACGTGTGGAACTGTCAGTGACTAGTCTCAATGGGACATTCACAGCACCCTTGCAAGCACACGTATTAGACAACATCGCCAGTGACACGCCAGCATTTCAGTGGTCAGAATTGAAAGAAAAATGGCCACATCTACGCCAAGTCCCATTTGAGAATGTATCCAGACGACGTTACATCGAAGTCATGATTGGCAGTGACCATCCACTGTTTCATTTGGTGTTAAAGGAAATCCATGGTAGTCGACATAATGATCCAATAGCACGATTGACAAACCTTGGCTGGGTATGCTTTGGTCCTACATTAGTGAAGGAATTCCGGCAGAAATCTCAGTCTCACTTTACTCGGACATACCGCAGCAACCAAGTGAGCAAGGAACCACCACCCGATGACTTTCTGAGAAAGTTCTGGGAACTTGAGTCAATAGGGATCAAGGAAGAATCAGGCAAGCAGATGACAGTCGAAGAAAAGGCAGCAATTACGAAGCGGCTTTGGTACGACTCAAAAGTCAGGAAAAATCTCTAAAAAGAAAAGGCCCGGACATTATGAAAGCCTACAGTCATGTCTTTGAAGAGCATGAGAAGAAAGATTACATAAAGGAGGTACCAAAATCCGAGACAAAGGAGCAATGGTTCCTTCCGCATTTCCCCGTTATTAGACTTGATAAAGATACGACGAAGGTCCGTGTGGTGTTCGATGCTGCGATGAAACACGAAGGCAAAAGTTTGGATGATGCAATACGACCAGGTCCCAAGCTGCAAAGAGAAGTTGTGGATGTTCTTACACGTTTCCGTAGAGCCCCATTAGCCCTTACTGCCGATATTTCCGAAATGTTTTTACAAGTTGGTCTCCGGGAACAAGACCGTCCATATCATAGGTTCCTGTGGCGGGATTTTGATACATCGAAAGAGCCTAACGTCTATGAGTTTTCGCGATTGTTGTTTGGCAACACGGCATCACCATTCTGCTCACAGTACGTTCTCCATACCCACGCACAAGCCCACAAAACAGAATATCCGGAGGCAGCCGAATCCGTTGACAATTCCATGTATGTTGATGATTTATTAGATTCTAGCGAAACCGTGGAGAGTGCACAACATTTGCAACGTCAATTGTCCGACATGTTAGCCATAGCTGGATTCAACTTGCGAAAGTGGTCATCAAATGAGGCAGCAGTAATAGAAAACATTCCCGTGGGCGATCGTCTACCTGCAATCGAGATCAACAACGGAGAGCTTGCTAAAACCAAGACCTTAGGAGTTACGTGGGAAGCAGCGAGAGACGTTTTTCTATTCCAAACTAAGCAACCTGATATGAGTGTCAATCCTACCAAACGAAACGTTCTAAGTGCGATAGCTGCCCTATATGACACACTTCAGTTCCTGGCACCATTCGTGATCCGCGCCAAGTTTATCATGCAAGAAATATGGACAGCAAGGCTAGATTGGGACGATGTCTTACCTAGTAATCTTAGCACGAAATGGGAAAACTGGGTATCTGAACTCCAGAGCTTATCGTGCGTTGCCATCCCACGATGTTTACGCCTACCAAAGACGGTTGACCTACACCTATTTTCCGACGCATCTAAAGATGCTTATGCCTCCGTTGCCTATTTGGTTTGCCAGTACACCAACAACCCCTCTACTTCGCGTCTCATTGCGTCAAAGAGCCGTGTGTCACCTTTGAAAGATTCCCCGCCTAGAGCTAATGGGAGTTGTTCTTTCAAGTCGTCTAGCCCCAAGTATCCTAAACGTGTTAACCGTGGACAGAGTGATCTATTGGACAGACTCAGAGAATGTGCATTACTGGGTACGTAACCAGAGTCGCGAATTTAAACCGTTCGTAGCTAATCGAATTGGGGAAATTCAGCGTACAACAAGTCCAGAACAGTGGCGGCACGTACCGGGGACGGAGAATCCAGCGGATTTACCAACCAGAGGTTTATCGGTGGCAGACCTTAGTGAGAACAAATTTTGAATGGAAGGACCATCATTCCTAAAAGACGGTGAAAGTGCCTGGCCAACCACACCTCCTAGTAAAGACGTACAGAAATCTGACCAGTGTGAAAGGCGATCAACCACGAAGACATATGCAACTAAGAACTATGAATTTACTAGCATTGATCCTATACACTTCTCAAGCCTCAAACGTCTATATCGTGTGACGGGTTGGATTAAGCGGTTCATCGCCAATTGTAAGATTCGTGGGAAATCTGGACGAAACTATGAAAAAACACTTTCTTCTGCTGAGATCTCTGATGCTGAGACGTTTTGGATCAAACACACGCAAACAGAAACTTTTCCTAAAGGCATAAATGAAAAGTCCCTAGTCCAATTAAACCCGACAAAAGATGATAATGACCTACTTCGTATTAACGGACGCTTACGTCTCGCTGAAGACATCCCATACGACACAAAGTATCCTATCCTCCTGCCAAAGAATCACCACCTGACACGCCTTGTAGTTCTTGATGCACATGAGACACTTGGCCATGGGTCTGGTATAGAACATACTTTAACACAATTGCGAGTGCGATTTTGGATTGTGAAAGGACGGCGTGTAGTACGGAACATCATCAAGTCTTGTCCAGAATGCCGACGAAGATTTTCTATGCAAACAGCCGGGCAAATGATGGCCCCTTTACCTAAGGCGAGATTGTATTCGTTGCGAGCCTTCGACAGAATTGGAATCGATTATGCAGGTCCTTTTTTAACAAAACAAGGACGTGGTAATATCAGAGCGAAACGGTACTTGTGCCTGTTCACCTGCTTAGCAACGAGGGTAGTCCATCTGGAAATGTCGTATTCATTAGATACGGACTCGTTTATCAACGCGTTTACCCGTATGTCTTCCAGGAGGGGGACGCCTACCTATGTTCTCGCAGACAATGGCACGAACTTTGTTGGTGCAGAACGTGAAATGCGAGAACTGATTGAAGCCCTCGACCACGACAAGATCATTCAAGGTACCAGCAAGCATCATCCCGTCGACTGGAAGTTTAATCCTCCATCTGCTCCTCGTTTTGGCGGAGTCTTTGAGGCGATGATTAAAAGTGCGAAGAAAGCAATCAAAGCCATATTGGGAGATGCAGATATCACAGACGAGGAACTACACACAGCCATATGCGGAGCTGAACGACTGTTGAATTCCAGACCAATCACATACGTTAACTCAGATCCCAACGATCTCTCACCACTTACACCGAATCATTTCCTCGTTGGACAAATTGGAGGATCATTCGCCCCAGAAGCATTGGACCACACAGAAGTGTACAAACCAAGAAAACGATGGCATCGCGTGCAACACTAACTGCTGCAACAATTCTGGAAACGATGGAGAAAAGAATTTCTTCCCCGTCTCAACGTCAGAAGAAAATGGTTTCATCCAAGACACAATTTAAAGGAAGGAGACGTGGTGCTGATTGCAGAACCTAAGGACAACCGCGGAGAATGGCCTCTCGGTCGTGTAATGGAAACCTATCCTGGTGCAGATGGCCTTGTGAGAGCTGTGAAAGTGCTGTCAAAGAGCAAAGAGTATATTAGACCCGTACATCGCTTGTGTCCCCTTGAGTATATCGAAGAACAGTCGGACAGTGACGACACTTGTGCATGTTAGACAGTGATCAATAGTTACGATCACGACAACCTTATTGTATCCTATAGTTATATGCGCATACTTGATATTGAACAGACGTTCGCAGACTTAAATTATGTTCATGTTAACCTTATTTCGAATGCATTGCATTCGGGAGGGGGATGTTAAGGAACGAATCGTTCCCTGTAATATAAAGTAAAAACACATACATACCGCTGCGCTTGCGTAATGCGGGCGTCTTTTAGTGTTGATTTTAAGACAGCGTGTGTTGTATTCTTTAAATCGATAAAAAATAAAGAGCTATTTGACAATTATAAAGAGAATCTGCCTTGTATACAGACTATTTAACGACCATTCTAACAGACGAGAACATATGACCGGCGAAATATATATATATATATATATATATATATATATATATATATATATATATATATATATATATATATATATATATATGGTACAACACGAATGTATCGACGCATCTAGACATGCGCAGAGTGTAATGGGGCCAGAGTGCTCAAACGACCACAAAGGGAAGTGAGCTTTGCAATATCGCTATTAGACACCCATGAAAAACTTTATATATATACAGTGTGTCCCCCAAAAAAGTACCCTCTATATCCTATTGTTGTTAAGCACAGGATTTTATGCGACTGGTAATTAAAAATTCAATTCAATTGTGTTTAGGCACTCTTGTGTTCAGCATAGTGCTCTGGCATTCAAATTATAACAATAGGATAATTTCTATAGAGGGTACTTTATTTTGGGACCCCCTGTATATATATATATATATATATATATATTTGGTTTACTAAACACAAACAGTGGAGATAGAGCGTAATATAGTTTTTCGTTTTACCTCAAAAAACCACAACAGTCTGCTTCATCCGTATAGCAATCATCAGGTGGTCTGATGTTGTGGTTTTTTGAGGTGAAACGAAAATATATATATATATATATATATATATATATATATATATATATATATATATATATATATATATATATATATATATATATATATATATATATATATATACTAATTATGATCTTAAAATTTTATTAATCGCTACACAGTGTTTCACGCTTTCAAAGCGATCTTCAGGCGATACTACTCTAAATAGTTTGCTTGCGCCATTCCGAAATTGGAATGGCGCAAGCAAACTATTTAGAGTAGTATCGCCTGAAGATTGCTTTGAAAGCGTGAAACACTGTGTAGCGATTAATAAAATTTTAAGATCATAATTAGTATATTTTGCTCTATCAATTAAATTTGTTATTGAGCACTCTTTTTGTACAACGGACAACGATTTATTATTGTATATATATATATATATATATATATATATATATATATATATATATATATATATATATATATATATATATATATATATATATATGGAAACACATTAATTGGTTACGACCAGAAAGAAACATAAATTTTTTTATTAAATTTTCGACCGCATGCGACAGCCTTCGTCAGAAGTAATTCCAAGTTAAGCATCTGTCAATTATATACCAACGGTACAGAATAAATTACTAAATTAATTAATTAATAAATTAAAATAAAACAATAAAAATTACGACCCTATTGTTGAACAAAATCATGATGGCTATTTAAACCCCCTTGATTAGTAGACTTAGTAAGCAACACCAATCCAGAAGTTTTCCCCTTCTCTCAAATTGTCATCGCGCTGTGATGAGCATAAATTTCAAAGTCGAGTGATTAGTATTATGACAATCTAAAAAGTGATTAACAATACTACAGTTTCTACGTTGGCGTTTAATATGCGATTTGTAATTTGCAACCCTCTTCTTAAAATTAGTGGTCGAACCCACTCCTTGCAAATGACAAGCCACACAAATAGCCAAGTATACCATTTTAGGCGAAGTACATGAAAGCGATTTACTGATCTTATAAATCTTTTTGGTCTTAATTGAACTAAAAATGAAGTACCAACCACCAAAAAATTCCGGCAACATGATACTGTACGGTATGTATATACTTGAAAGATAAATGTGCTTCTTAACGTTCTTTGCAGGATTTATCGGTTTTGAAAGATGTTCCATCTTTATATTGTCATTGACAAATGAAAAACTGCCTTTGAATTATAAATTGCCAAAGGAATGTGTTTATCTGCCGGGCTTCCACCTTCACTCGAATTCCAAGTTGCACACGGATGCAAGGAGGCAGATTCGCCATTTTATGAAAAGCCAGAAAGCAAAAGACGCAGACTGATTGCTGTTCCACATTGACTATAAGTATATCACGAACGGTTTTTATAACAGCTTATATAATTTTCACTTACAGAAAATTGGTCGATTAGTCTCCATATTCTTATCAAATTGGTTTTGGATACGCCCAAACAATTTTCGTAAACCGTGAAACCGCCAAATTTATTTGCATTTGTCTAGGATTGGTTTTGGATGCATTCAAAACCATTTTCATTGGCGCTAAAATCTGTAAAATGATTTCCATTTTCCAATAGGATTGGTTTTGGACGCATCCAAAACCATTCTCATGAGCTATAAATTGGCTAGTTTGTTTGCATCTGTCTAGGGATTGATTTTGTATGCATCCAAAACCATTTTCATGAGCTATAAATTGGCTCATTTGTTTGCATTTGTCTATGGATTGGTTTTGGATCCATCCAAAACCAATCCCTGGACAAATGCAGGAAAATTAGCCAATATATATGTAGCTCATGAGAATGGTTTTGGATGCATCCAAAACCAATCATATAAGAAAATGGAAATCAATTTACCGATTTTAGCGGTAATGAAATTGGTTTTGGATGCGTCCAAAACCAATCCCTAGACAAATGCAAACAAATTAGCAAATTTATAGCTCATGAGGATGGTTCTGGATGCGTCCAAAACCGATCCAAAAGAAAATGGACATCAATTTACCGATTTAAAATGGTTTGGGACGCATCCAAGAGATTGGTTTTGGACGCATCCAAAACCATTTCCATAAGCGCTAAAATCGGCTGATTTGTCTGGGAATTTTTTGCTAAAATCAGTGAATTTGTTTGAATTTCTCTAGGATTAGTCTTGGGCACATCGGTCAATCGACTTCCATTTTCCTACAGGATTGGTTTTAGATGCATCTAAAACAATTTTCATGAACTATGAATTGGCTAATTTGTTCGCATTTCTTTCTCATGAGCTATAAATTGGCTAATTTCTTTGCATTTGTCTAGGGATTGGTTTTGGACGAATCCAAAACCATTTCTATAAGTGCTAAAATCGGCTGATTTGTTTTCATTTGTCTGGGGATTTTTTGCTAAAATCAGCGAATTGGTTTCCATTTCTCCAGGATAGTTTTGGACATATTGGTCAATTGATTTGCATTTTCTCGCAGGGGTTGGTTTTGGACGCGTCCAAAACCATTCTCATGAGCTATAAATTGGCTAATTTGTTTGCATTTGTCTAGGGATTGGTTTTAGATGCATCCAAAACCATTTTCATTAGCGCTAAAATTGGTGAATTGATTTGCATTTTCCTGCAGGGTTGGTTTTGGACGCATCCAAAACCATTCTCATGAGCTTTAAATTGGCTAATTTGTTCGCCTTTGTCTAGAGATTGGTTTTGGATGCATCTAAAACCATTTCCAAATGCACTAAAATCGGCTGATTTGTCTGGGGATTTTTTGCTAAAATCAGCGAATTGGTTTGCATTTCTCCAGGATAGTTTTGGACATATTGGTCAATTGATTTGCATTTTCTCGCAGGGTTGGTTTTGGACGCGTCCAAAACCATTCTCATGAGCTATAAATTGGCTAATTTGTTTGCATTTGTCTAGGGATTGGTTTTAGATGCATCCAAAACCATTTTCATTAGCGCTAAAATTGGTGAATTGATTTGCATTTTCCTGCAGGGTTGGTTTTGGACGCATCCAAAACCATTTTCATGAGCTTTAAATTGGCTAATTTGTTCGCCTTTGTCTAGAGATTGGTTTTGGATGCATCTAAAACCATTTCCAAATGCACTAAAATCGGCTGATTTGTCTGGGGATTTTTTGCTAAAATCAGCGAATTGGTTTGCATTTCTCCAGGATAGTTTTGGACATATTGGTCAATTGATTTGCATTTTCTCGCAGGGTTGGTTTTGGACGCATCCGAAACCATTCTCATGAGCTATAAATTAGCTAATTTGTTTGCATTTGTCTAAGCATTGGTTTTGGATGCATCCAAAACCATTTTCATTAGCGCTAAAATTGGTGAATTGAATTGCATTTTCCTGCAGGGTTGGTTTTTGGCGCATCCAAAACCATTCTGATGAGCTATACATTGGCAAGTTTATCTAGGGATTGGTTTTGGACGCATCTAAAACCATTTTCAAAAGCACTAAAATCGGCTGATTTGTTTTCATTTGTCTGGGGATTTTTTCCTAAAATCAGCGAATTGGTTTGCATTTCTCCAGGATAGTTTTGGACATATTGGTCAATTGATTTGCATTTTCTCGCAGGGTTGGTTTTGGACGAATCCGAAACCATTCTCGTGAGCTATAAATTAGCTAATTTGTTTGCATTTGTCTATATAAGCATTGGTTTTGGATGCATCCAAAACCATTTTCATTAGCGCTAAAATTGGTGAATTGATTTGCATTTTCCTGCAGGGTTTGTTTTTAACGCATCCAAAACCATTCTGATGAGCTATACATTGGCAAATTTGTCTAGGGATTGGTTTTGGACGCATCTAAAACCATTTTCAAAAGCACTAAAATCGGCTGATTTGTTTTCATTTGTCTGGGGATTTTTTGCTAAAATCAGCGAATTGGTTTGCATTTCTCCAGGATAGTTTTGGACATATTGGTCAATTGTTTTGCATTTTCTCGCAGGGTTGGTTTTGGACGCGTCCGAAACCATTCTCATGAGCTATAAATTGGCTAATTTGTTTGCATTTGTCTAGAGATTGGTTTTAGATGCATCCAAAACCATTTTCATTAGCGCTAAAATTGGTGAATTGATTTGCATTTTCCTGCAGGGTTGGTT